AGGCCACAGACAAGGAGGAAATCTGGTCTTTCACTCTCCAGGTTACCACATTTCATAAAATCTTAGCCCTGTCTTTTTCCCACCCTGATTTTAGCTCTGTCCTGCAACACCAAATATTCAGATTTCCCTCTGACTCCTCCATATCTCCTGTCTTTCCATACTGTACACACCACAGTTACCAAAATCCTTCCCAAACCAGCCCCCCATCTTCTCCCTCTTCCTATCCCACCTGTCCAACGTGTCCAGCACCAGCACCTTGGCAGGAGCAATTCCAGAGGAGAGGTCCCAGCTGTGCCACCAGCAACCTGGATCTACACTGGATTCTGCCTCCCAAGAAATACAACTCAAGAATATTGAATCATATAAAAATAATTCACTTTGGTCAACTTCTGTGGTGCCCCAGTTTCTGATTCTGAGCTGTATTTTTAAGTTCAGCTTTGATGGAAGTGAACCACTAAAAGACTTTTTTTTAAAATATCAGCACATTTGACATAAGGATTTTTGCCTCATTTTGCTGCTTCAAACTTTTCAGTTCCTTCATTCACTCACAAATAAGAGTTATCCTTGTTCAACGATAAAAATATTTGTTATTATTTTATTATTATTTTGTGGATTTTTGTGGAATTAGGAAAAAAAAAATCCGGTTTGAAAATACCAGTGAATCCCACATTCCCCTATGCAGATATACAGAATTTTTCAGCTGTCAGCATAACAATTCCTCAAGTTTTCTGAATCCATCCTCCAGCAGTAAAATTCTACCTACTCTTTTATCTATTCTGGATATTTAGACGGAAAATTATTTGAGTGGGAGGCAGCTTGTTCGTTTCAAAGAAGATGACAAAGACTTGTTACTCAAAAGCATCTGTGCCTGTTCCTTCATTAAAGGTCATTTTCTTCCAGTCAGTTCTTGCAGGGAACATCTTCTACCCCCTTAGCTTTGATATCCTGCAAGCAGCAACTGGATCATGTCCTTGGGACTCCAGGTATCTCCTAAGGAATCCACATGGAAAAGGCAATACCTACCTCTGTTTGCAAAGCAGCTGGTTGTGGATATACTGAATAAAATGCAATAAATCCCTTGTGGAGAACTGCTCCTCCCTGTTCCTCCCAGAGCTGCCTGGTGATTATTGTTTTGACCATTGTTTTCGTGCAAGTCATTAAAAACATTCTCTCGTTAGATTTAGAAGCAAAACACGAAAGTGGATTAAAAACTCACCCACTCAATTTTCTCTCTTTTTTTTTTTTTTTTAAGAGCTTTCCACCTAGTCCAAATGCACAGAAGAAATTCTAGCCCATTAACATCCATCAGAGAGCAGTAATGAATTCATCAATATTGCTCCAATCCGTGGGCACGGCATGGTGCTGAATCATTTGGTAACTACATCTGCAGCAGGAAGGGCTCACACAACCCTCCCCACCCTGCCAGCAGCCACGTCCCTGGAGAAGGAAAAATGAATGGATTGAGATGTCCCTGAGCTCTGTTATCCCTCTGCATGGGCTTGCTGGTGCCTCTCCACACCAGGATTCTCACAGCCAGCAAATCCTGCTGCTCCCCCCCTGGACATGTCCCTCCTTTGCCAAGCCACCTGCAGGCTTGCAAGGAGCTTTCAGTGTTCTTTCTTTCTATAAAAGACACGAGGATTTGGTTTTTCTCTGCTTTTTAATGTACAACGCAAATATGTCAAGCCTTAAAGTGAATATTTAATTTGCAAAAAAAAAAAAAAAAACCCTCCACATCAGGTTACTGCAATCATGCCAAACTGTGATTTTATTTTTGTGTCTATTTACAGAGCTATGGAAGGACAAACTTCTTCCTCCAGCAAGATTTCCTAACAGCAAAAGTTCTATGCATAAGAAAAGCTAAAAGCTACCAAAATCAGCTAGTCTTAAAAAGAAAATAATTATCAAGTAACATGGAAGTTTAGCTGCCAAAAAAAAGCCCATACCTGTGGCTGGAGTACAAGAGTATTAAGTTACTGTTCTCACAACAAAGGAAAAGGAATCTATTCTTGAAAACAAAATAAATCAGCTTTAATGATATAAACAAAATTATCCTTAAATGCAGATATAACTACTCTGCCTGCTTTGCCTTGCCCAGGGAGGCCAAGGCTGGTGGGCTCTGCACTTTTCCACCTCTCTAAATCCTTTCCTTGTGTTTACACTCTCAGCTCTAATGGTATCTCTAATTAACCCCAGGAATAAAACAGGGGTTTGTTAAGGGAGCCCTCAGAAAGCAAGAACAGCTAATTCAGGTCTCTGCTCCTCTGCTGCCTTAACACAGATGATGGCTCAGAACATACACTCACACATGTGCCTACATATCCTCAACTCCCACGGCTTCATTCAATTAATACTATTAAATCTTTAATGCTCGGCTTCAAAGGCTTTTTTTTAAATTTTTAATAGCTCTCATAGGTGAGCACGAATGTTTTAAGTCTTTCTGCTATATTTTAAATAAACTCCTCTTTTCTTGCCACTTTGATGTTTGCCTTTCTGACAAACCTCTGCTCTGTGAAGCTGCTGCGACTTTGTTTTGTGTGCGAGGATGACATTACAAGCTCCAAAAGATATGTTAATCACCGAGCTGGAATCTGGGATTTTTTTAATTCCTCTCACCTGCCCTCTGGGCTGGGAGTTGGCACCAGAACAGCTTTCATCAAAACAATGAAACCCAGAAGGAGAGAAGAGGCAACTGGAGGGAGGGGGCTCTGATTTGCATCTGTTTAGCATGGAAGCGGCAGGCGGGGCTAAATTCTCTTTTACTCTGCTTTCCCATGAAAGGAGAGAATGCCAAAGTCACCGTATTTTATTTAAATAGTTAAAATAGGAGTTTTGACAAAAGACTGGTCAAGCTGGATGGAAGAATAAGCCTTGTGGCACCTAAAGGCACATCTGTTTCTCACGTTTGATGGGCACTGAATTTGTTTTTAATTCTCCCCTTCTCTCACTCCAACTACCTCGAGACCCCTCCCCACCTTGCCCTGCCCCGTTTCTAAATTTGGAATTTGTGAGACAAGAGACTAAATTTTGACAGCACATTTCAGGCCTTTCTATAAAGCATAAACTACTACAAGAAACGAAAAAGAGAAAAAACCAAAAACAGCACAGGTTTTCCTCCTCCTTTAAAGTTTATTTATTTTCTTCTGAATAAGAAAAAGAAAACCCTTAAAATAAAACTAAAAATCAGCATTTCCAGGGACAGGAAAAGGCACTATAGTATTATATACACTATCCAAGCTGACACAAAAAAGAAGAGATTAAAAGCCTGGCTGGAAGCCAAGGCATCCAGACACAATTTTTGCACAGAGCATAGAGAACAAAAGTGTTCCTGCATTCAGGATGTTGGAGCGTGTTTCCTGCACTCACACCTGGAAGCAAACAACACTAAAAACCAGGGATCAACAGGTCCCTCATCCCTTCAGAGTGAAAGATGTGCTCCCACCCTGCTTGATCCAGAGCATCTCCTGCAGAACAGACCCCCCCCCCCCCATAAAGCAAATTAAAAACAGAATCGTAAAGACGAGCTACAAAACTCTCCTGCTGTTCTTCCCTCCTCAACATTTCAGCAGAGTACTCCCCAAAATCCCAAATCTCCAGCCATACAACACCTCCTGACTTTTAAAGCCCGTGTAAATATTCCTGGAGGCATCCTATGGTCGTATGATGATGAAATTAAATATACACAGACACTGCTGGTTGGCAGACAGACACAGAAATGGCAATTGCAGCACTCAGTGTGTTTAAAGCAGCAGGCCAGGCAAAAGGAGATTATTCACTAGGTAGTCAAACGTAAAAAAGAGCCAGACATTTCAGTCTGTCTCGGTGTCTCACAAAGGGGTCAGCGATTTGTAAATTTTAAACACAACACTTAAGCAGTTTTGCAGACTAAAAATCCTTTGATGATTTACCTCAGTGCTTCCCTGCAATAAACCAGTTTAAAAGTGATTTTGCTGTGCTCGAGCTTTTCTACTTCAGCTTCTCTACAAGAATTCTGAAAGCCACGTCAAACCAATTATAAACATTCCTGAATTTTACTTCCTTATTAAAGCTTCCCAAGAGAACCAGTAAACATATAAACATAAATATCTTTCAGAGAAGTCACCCAAGTACCAATAAAATCTTCTGAAAGCAGCTGCTTTGCTGAAAAAGTATGAAAAACCATGGGCTGCATAATCATAGCCTGGTGCAAGGACAGTCACACTGTTCTTCAGAGCATCAGACAGAAATTTCTGCCTTTAAAATATACATAAATTGAAAAGATTCTCAAAAATTACAGTATTAAATATTGATTTCTGATCTGCATTTGCATACTCCTAAGAAAAGGAGTCTGTGTCACCTATGCTGTTTATCTAAAAAACATTCCAACACAGGCATTATCTTGACTTTCTGAGAAACTCTTCTAAATTGGTAGACAAAGTTTAACTTCATGAACTCTGCTCAACAACAGCAGCAAAATATAGTAACACTTCTCATAGGTAATAAGCATTCCATCCTTAAAAAAAAAAAAAAAAAATCACTGCAAGCGGCAGAACACTGCAAGAAGCAATCAAACCCCTGCAATAAGGCAGGATGGGCTCAGAAGGCAAATATTTCATTAGATAACACAACAGAGGGGAGTTTATGCTTTCCAGTGGTCATTAGAGAAAGAGGTTTTCATCAAATAATTAAATACCTGGGCAGGGGCATTTTAAAGATGCATCAGATCTTCCCTGGATCTGAATATTGAGAGTAATGCCTGATCAGGAATCTCTAACCAGACATCACAATCCATCAATGGCACAAAATGGGAGGGTGTTTATCTAATTAATTAAGTGAATAATTAAAAATATTAAAATTTTGTTTTTCAAATGACAATCGAAGTGCTTTCCATGTGGCAGAGCACGCAGTGCCTGACATCCACCACAGAACAGGCATGTTAAAACAGCTCTGCAGATAAGGATTAATGAATGATCTTCAATTCTGCCTGATTTCATAGGTTAGAGCAAACATCTCTGCCTTACTGCTGTTGTCACAAGCCTCATCCCTGTCCAAACAGAGCTGAAAGTCAGTAGAAAAGCAGCTTCAGCAGCAATTGGGTCAACCGATTTGGCTGAAGAAATCCTCATCACTAAAAAGAAAGAAATAAATAAAAATCAGAAAGACAAAACTGAGGTGATGCTTGGGGTCAGCAGCACACACGAGGAACCTCCTGGGAACAGAATTCCTACCTAGAGGGAAACTTTTGTGCCTGAGGGATTCTTTTGTGCTGCCATCTCAGGAGACGAAGTTACCTTTAAAAAATAACTTTCTTTGGTCTCTCCCTGAGGAATATCAGAACTTTCTGTATCAGTTGTGTCAGTGGGGTTTGTCCTACGAAGTTTTTATTTGTGAACTGCACAGCTCTTACACCAGTGAGTAATTTACTCATGCTATTACTCCCAGTGGACTCAGAAGAACTGTGTGAGAAAGAAAGAGCTTTGCCAACCTAAAGGTTGCACAATCGGGGAGAAAAAAAAATACAAACCAGGGAGGGGGATAAATTGCAACTGACAAAAACTACAATCAAGAAATAGCTGGTGACAGATTGTTGTTTAAGTACAAGGAAGTGATTTAAACAGGAGCAGTTGTAATAAGATTATACGATTCTCTATTAAGATTCTTAAAATGTCTTTGTTCTAGCAAAGCTCTGAAAAGACCATTGCCCTTGCAAAGGTTCAGAAACTACTAAATTGATGTTAAGTCTAGAAATTAATATGATTTGGGAGAATAAAGATAAAAATGTGAAAGAACATCCCAGACATCATTAGTAGCCAGCCAGCCGTGCTGGTATTTTTCAGGAGTACCACAGCATTTCTTGGTGGCAAAATTCAAACCCAACAAATAGAAGTAGGGATTTTGCTGTGCCTGAGTTTCTGCTTTTAAATAATGAAAACTCCTGGGTTGATTTTAGAAACCATCACATTATGTAAGTGACATCTCCAGAAGGGCAGGGAAGTCTCTGTGAGGTTATACTGGAGAGAGATTAAATCAGTGTCTGGCTGCTGAATTTTAGCCATGACCCCCAGACTCCACCACATATTTTAAGTAATTAGTTCTAAAACTACAGCCCCCAAAACTGGACATAACTCCTGCAATACTGAAAAGCAAACAGGCAAGGGAGCCATCAGATTTCTGTCTGGTAGGGTGAACATAAAACATCTCTAACTAAGGTGTCTGCCATGGTTTTAAACTAATGAGCAGCTTTGAACTTTCAAAAAAACAATTTATTACTTAATTTGTACAAGTATTGTTCACTGAGTGCTGCATTCTGAGAAACAAAACAGCCTCAAAGAGCCAGGTGTGTCCCAAGCCTGCAGAAGCAGCACAGAGGCCTTCTCCTGCCTGGGTCTCCCTCCAAACTCTCCTGGACCTTGTGACCAATTAGGATTTATTACTTGGTGACATGAAAGGCTCAGGCCCTGCAGACAACATGGCTAAAACAGCTCTGGGAGAGGCAGGAGCAGGGCCAAGGAAAGGCAGGGACAAGGACAAGGGGGAAGGAAAGGCAGGGACAAGGACAAGGGGGAAGGAAAGGCAGGGACAAGGGGGAAGGAAAGGCAGGGACAAGGACAAGAGGGAAGGAAAGGCAGGGACAGAGATAGGGTGGAAGGAAAGGCAAGAACAGAGATAGGGTGGAAGGAAAGGTAGGAACAGGGTGGAAGGGAAGGCAGGAACAGGGTGGAAGGAAACTGCAGAGGTCTCATGCACAAATTTCAGCTAAATTTCCCGAGGCAGCTCAGGGAGCTTCACTTGAAAACAATTCCTTGGGATCACAACAACAAGAGTGTGTCTGAGATTCCTTCAAACTTCCCCGAGTCACCTCCACGACAGAGCAGAGCCAAGGGGAGCCTCCAGGGCGGAGCTGCATCCAGGCCTGGGCTGGGACTGGTTTTACCCAGCTGCACTCCCACTGCCAGTGGGGACCTGTCCGAGCCTGAGCTCCTGCTACTCCACCTGCACAGAGCTGGATTTTGCAAGCCAAGGCACAGGAGGAGTGAACAGCCCAGGCTTGACCTTGAACACAAGCTCGAGGCGCCAGTTAGAGGCATTTATGTTAACAGCCCTGGGTGATAGGAAACAGAGAGACACACTATTAACAATTAATGCAACACAGGGTATTGGCCCTGAGATCAATTCAAGTTCAATTTTTGTAACAATACCAGAAAAATGAGCTGAAAATCATCTACAAAGAAGAAAAGCATCTCGCTAGCATAATAACTCAAAGTCGTATTTCCATATAAAAAAGCACAACGGTGAATTACAAACTGAATTCTGCAGATATCTCCAGTGCACCCAACAAACACAAACTACTTCGATACTGATTTTCTAATTAATATCATCATTCATACAAACTTGCACTATTAGATATTTACATAGAACTCAGTCTTGGTAACTTAAGCTACTCTCCTTAAACTCTGCCTACAACCACTGCTTACCTACAAAAACCAGCACAGAATCTTCTGACCCAACTACTTTGCCTTTATCAATGCCCTGGAACAGCAACATAAAATCAAGCAAACTCCAAATTTGGAAACCAGAGACAAAACTGTTATTTGTAAAATGATAAAGAACACCAGTTTTCCTGGAGCTTTCCACCTGCTGCACCACTCATGGAGAGGCTCAGCCCAAGAGCCACTGAGTTCCAGATCCATCCTGAAGCCCACAGCCTCTGAATTCACTCTCACATTCAACCATTCTGAATCCTTTCTCCATGCAGAACAGCAAAGCAGTCCTGTAACAACCAGCCAAACTGATTAACTCAGACTTTTTAGGGTCTGTTATTCAGCACAGCCCAGTCTGAACCAAACCTGGAGCACACCAATGCCAGCACACCTACAATCAGCTCCAGCAGGTTTTATTCCAGAGGACAGCAATCCATGTTGTTCTCCATGGAGTCTCCTGCCTTCTTAATGAGCAGCCAGGCTACTGAAACACACAAAAACCTGCTGTTCTTTGAAGCACTTAAGCCAGCAGGATGCTGGTACGTTTCGATATTTTCCCTGCACAGATCAGAGCGAGGTGAAGTGGGAAAAGAACATTACAGGCGTTCCTACAAAGCAGGCACATTTCATTTTCTATTAGCAACATCCCAAGGGACACTTTAGTGCTCTGCAAATATGGCCCTGGAAGACTGGGAAGTTGCTTCCTGAGTACCAGTCATTAAAGAAAGATATTAGAGTAACTTATATTCTTCTACACCAAGCAAAAACCAGAGTCATTTCCTCATCCTACGTATGAGACCTAAGAAAAGCAGGATCAGGAACAGCATAACTACTCTTTAATGTATTTCCCCTAAACTGATTATCATTTAATGATTTCTCTCTCTCTCTCTCTAAAGGAAAAAAAACCAAAAACAACCACAGAAACCCCGATTTCTGTATCAAGAGAGACTATCAGCATTTTTATGAAATAACAAATTAGGCCTTTGGCATTTCCCAGCAGTGGTCCAAGATTTGAGGTTTCTTAAAAGCTCCAAGTTTCAAAGCAATCAAATGACTGACAGCTGGAACAAAACTAGCATGATTAACCAGTTATGTAAATAATGATGTGGTCAGTGCAAGCTGAATTCATTTCTGCTGCCTGCATTATACTGGACATCAGATGTTTGTGAACTCTTCATTAAATGTGACTGTAGGAATAATGGGAGTGAAAACCAACAGGAGCATCACCAGCCAGGCTACCCAACAGTCAGGGATCTCTCCTCTGGTCTTTCCACAACCATCAGGTAACTCATCAACAGCACTTTTTCAACCCAAATATTACCCATTACTGCTTAGCTTCTACCTAGGGAACAAATCAACTACTTTTTCTCAGGAGACAAGTCCGTGGAGAGATGGAGAAAGATGGAGAGAGGTTATTTATTTACAAAGGCTTGGAGTGACAAGGCCAAGGGAGAATGGCTTCCCAGTGCCAGAGGACAGGGTTAGATGGGATATTGGGGAGGAATTGCTCCCTGTGAGGGTGGGGAAGCCCTGGCACAGAATTCCCAGAGAAGCTGTGGCTGCCCCTGGATCCCTGGAAGTGTCCAAGGCCAGGCTGGAGGGAGCTTGGAAACACCTGGGATAGTGGAAAGTGTCCCTGCCATAGCAGGGGATGAGCTTTGAGATCCATTCCAACCCAACCCATTCTGGCATTCAAAGATCCTGTGAGTGCTACATCACATTTCTTAAAGGCTGATAATAATTTCCATTCCTCAGCACACATAAAAGTCAAGCTGCTGTGTCAGAGCACTGTTGTGACACAGAGGTGATGTTGCAGAGTTACTTCATGGAATCAAGGAAGTTACAATCAGCACCCCAAAGTCAAACTTCCTCAAATGGAACCCACAGTCAATTTGGCCTTATCAGAATTTGCAGTCAGGAATGCACACTCATGGGTCATTTGTGCTTGATAATTTTGATAACACGGTTAAATATTTAATATGGGTATGATTATCTCTGACATTCTGTCAAGCTAGTTTACCATTACTTATAAAGGAAAATTCATCCAAAGTTTTGATTGTTCCCAACAAAACTCTATACTTGAGTTTGTTCAAAAATAACACATCTGAGAACCAGCCAAGACAAACATATTTAGAAGTAACTCCTAAACAGGTTGCATTTTGCTAAAGATACCATTACAATATATTTCTATTTCTAATTTTAAAAAATCATTCATCCCACATTTCACACCCCAACAATACAATTCCCTATGACCTTGTGTCTCACGAAACACAGCAACACACTGGAATTATGCAAGAGTTCTGTATTACCATAAAGCACATATTTCAGAAGAGAGAATAATAAAACTTAATCTCGTGGCCTGATTTGCATTTTGAACTCATCAAGTCAGACTCTACAACCCATAACATCTGCAACAGCTTCACAATCCCAACAAGTCTTTTAGGCCTCTTGTTGAAAATGGATGAACATGTAGATAATTCAGGTTATTTTCTCAAGAGATGAGAAAAAGAAATCCGTCCAATTGCTGTAAATTTAAAATCTCACTTGGCTTTTCAGACCAGTGTCGATACCGTAATTGAGAAGGGGGAGGGGGAAGCATTACACACCCATAAAACTGAGACCAAACGCTACCAGTTTTAAAGCCTTAGAGCTTTAAATCTTAACATGAATATTTTAACATTTACATTAAAGCCTTACGGCTTTAAAATAGGGGACTTCCATTGTGGGCAGCCTGTGATAATTACTGTTTCAATATATTTCACAGCAATAATGTAATACAGCTGGCTGAGTACCCAACCCTAATCTGTAGCATCACAGGTACTGCAGGTAAAAATTAAAAAAAAAAAAGAAAAAAAATATATATGAGTATGTGTCAGTGTAAATATATAGAAAGAGAGAGAAGAAGAGAGACTATCACAGAATTATTAGGGTTGAAAAGGACCTCTGGAGATCATCTAACCCAAGCCCCCTAGATAAAACAGACCCTTACAAATTATTAAAAGCATTCATACACATCTCCCGAACAACGATATTACTGAAAATACAACAAAACAACCCCCGCGCCGCCACGATGGAGCTGAACAACGCCGGGGCGGGGGTCGGGCAGGGCGGACCGGAGCCTCCCCCCCCACCACCACCCCTCCCCAACCGGGAGCCCCCCGAGCCCGCAGGCCCCGCCATCCCCCGCAGCCCCGGGAGGCCCATCGGGAGCCAGGCCCAACCTCGGAGCCGCGGGGACCCTGCCCGGCCCCGCAACTCGCCCTCCCAGCCACCCACCGGCGACAACAAAGGGCCACCACGGCCCCGCGCCCTCCCCGCGGGGACCCCCGGGGGCCCTTCCCGCGCCCACCCCGCGCCCCGCGGAGGGGCAGGGCGGGGTTGCGGGGAGTTGCCCGCCCGTTCCTTCTTCCCCCCCACCTCTCCCCGTCCCGCATCCC